TGAACGATCCGATAAAGGGGAGAGCGAGCTCTGTAACTTAATTCGAACGACGGAGGTACAGGGCGGTTTCTCGTCGAGCGACGGAGGAATGCTCGGAAGGCGGAAAAGGCGACGCGTAATAGTACACGATCCGTGTCGATTTCTCAACCTTATCGTCTGACTTTCGAGAAAGAGGGTGGACAATGGTGCTCGGTTACGCGGTTTTCCGAGCCAAGGGGATGCAGTCCTTTGGTCAGACGTCCGGGGGATACGTTACCCCAAGGAAACGTGAAACTAAAAGATAGAATTTTCGTCCGAAATTGTGCCACCCCTAGGAGCCTACGAAAAAGAGAAACGCGGAGTCGCGTTTAACGATGCGACTCGCGCGCACCGAGTCTGTCATTAACGCTAAGATTCTGTCGACCAAGAAGAGAGTGGCAAGAAAGAAGGTCGACCTTCTACTCAAGAACGAACTTCTCAAGAAAAATTTACTTGGAAACTCGTTAGTTTCGGGGCGTACGATTTTCATTAACCACTCGAGGTTGATCGACCCTAGAGGTTGTTTTTGGAGTTCATTCAGAGTAAACATCGCGTTTCTATTTTTGCGAATGTACAATATTTTTTAATTCGAAGATTGCTTCAAATTACTGCTATTTGAATCTTTCTTCTGTACGGAGGCAACGTCTTTCTGTTGTCAAATATCTCGACGACAAAATAGCGACTCGTTATTATTAATTAGACGTGGAACACTGTAACCGGGGAACCGATATTCTCGACCATCGTTGTTTACCGGCGTCCATCAACGAATCTAGCAGGCAAATCGAGTAAACGTTTGTACAGCGATGTGATACGATAAGTTGATCCCGTGTTTTCTCATCGTGAGCTACGAATAGACTATTTTCATTATCGAAATAGGATTTCGTTTTACTTATCGAGCCACGAATAAAATTGTTTTCAAACGAATTTCTAAGATACATTAATGTCTTCAGGCGTGCATCCGCATTGTTACAAAATTCCTATGAAAATCAGAAACCCTAAAAGCGCAACATTTGCAGCGCACGTGAGTTGTCATCGGCCACTTTACCATTTTTTTTGTGAAAATTCCTACGCCGTGCACTTTCCCTTAGAGTTAGAAATAGTCACACCCACTGCCACCGTCAACCACCAATCAGTCAAAATTTGTACATCCCCATCCGCAACAATTTTCCACCAATAGCAATAAAACCGAGATTATGTAAACCGTGAGCCAAAAAACCGTAAAAATCCGCTGTCTCAGTACATTATTTATATGAAATCTACTCCGACGACATTAATTTCTTACCAGAAAGTCCGTTATCATATTCGGTACACATTATTTCTTGAGATTTCGACTCGGGAGTGTAGAGGAGGCGTAAGATGAGGTCTGCTGTATCAAGGAGTCCGTTAACAGAGGATCCAGGACGAAACGCTGCCCTTTCGCCTGCGTCGGTACTCTCCCTCGACGGTCTCCGTTTCGCCCGTGGCGTGATTCAGCCATCAAAGCGGTGCCCCAGTTTCGAGCCACGTCCGCCGCGGGGCAAACGCGGAGAAAACGAACTCCGTTCGCGCAAGAAAAGTGCAAAAACAAACGAGGAGGGCGAGAGACACGCAATGCGCTCGGAACCGCGGGAGACGTCGGCGTCGGGGCGCACGGAGCCCCGGCGTTCCCAGGAAACGAGGGGAAATCCCGCAACAGGAAATTTGAATTAAAGCCGTTGGACGGACGAAAGGGGTGGCCATAAATCTTTTTACCGTCTTCAAACGGAAGAAAAATCCCTGGGGGCTTTCTACCACGGTAGCAAGCCCGGCCGAATAAGAAGAGGAAGAAGAAAAAATGGGGGAAGAACCGGAGGGAGCGAGAGGCCAACCACGGTGAGACGGATCCTCGTTCCCGGGGCTTTTACCTCCTCAACCCTTCTCTAATTTACTAACCTTATCGTTCTGTTTTTGAGCCACCGTCAAGAACAAAGGAACCTCGGCGATTTTACGGCGTGGAACGGATGGCCGGTCAAAGCTGTGCAAATTGCACGGGTACACACAACACCGGAAGCGAGATTACCAGGTCACGTTGCCCGTGAAACGCCATAGAGACGGTAACTCCCCGGGCCACGGATAGAAAAGCTGACGAATGGATAGGCGGAGACGATGCGCTGGAAACGACGACGACAAAACCCCGGAGTCGCAGGGGGAGGCGGGTAGGGGGGAGGGGGAGGCGGCCTTCGTTGTTTCGTTAATTAAACGAACTTTGGGATCCGCCGCGAGCAATTAAACCGAACCCGTTCGGCGTGAGCCACCTTTGAGATCTGTCCTTTGAGACGGCTGACTTCGCCACCTTGACTCTAACGACTCTCGTATTTCCAGCCGCGTTTTCCCTACCACGCGTCGGCTACTTAGAGCCTGATACCGTCGATGTTTCTCCACGGTTTCTCCAAAGCTAATGTTTCGCCGCGCTTCGAAGCTATTTAACTACGGGAACGCCACTCATTTTCCACCTGCAACCGGTGTTTACCGTTCGAATCGTCGAGGAAATTGAAGTGCCGTCGAGAGGCAACGGGTGGTGGCTCAGGGAACTTTCTAAGGAGTCCCCCGGCCCGGAAATACGGAAAATTTCGATACGCTACGTGCGAATGGACACACCGGGCCTGTCCGGGTGACTTGTAACAGGGAAAGTGAAATCGTCCTTTGAAAAGGATCTGATTTTGAACGAGTGACGTCAAAGGCAACTTTAAACGAAGATTATATCTGCAGAATAAGCATGTGGGTCTCCTTTCCACGGGATAACGATTTTCTAAAAAGGTATTTCGATCGAATAAGACTACCCCCCGTCGAGTCGTGGAGGAAATCGCATTGTGGCGGGTGTTCGCGGTTTCTTCGATGTCGACGACGCGAGGAATCTTGGAAATACCCTGGAAACAAGATAGACGCGAACCTACTAAAAAAAAATACGCGACTACGACGTTCTAAACGTTCCGCGTCGTATCTGGTCGGCCTTTCTCCCTTCTCGCGGGGGTGGAAAGAGCGCAGAGGGGACGGCGGAGCAGAAGACAGGCAGCGAAAGCAACGGTAACAAACGTCTGCCGTCTCTTATACAAAGTATCCACTTCCACGTTCGTTTCTCTTCCACACTTTTAAGCGATAACGAACGTTACCAGCCCCCGGGGGATCGGTGGGTGTTGCACGGGGGTTGACGGGGGTGAAAGGCAGCGGCAGTTAACCCCCTCTGGTGTTGCGCCGTCGCGGCGTTCGCGTAAACACGAAAAATACTTCCACGACGCGGTCGAGAAATTTTTTCTCTTAATCGCGGCGAGAAACTCGCTCGAGGAAATCGGGAATTATTCTAACGGGGTTAATTGTGGACCGGGGGAACGTCCGGGAGAAATTTCACCGTACTTGAGCCAGCGATTTACTAAAGTTTGTCGAGAGATGATATCATTTCCAAATGGGTTAAATCAATAATATACCAGATTATGTGTCTATAATTGCAATATTTGTATTTGCCTCTAAATATCCTATTTAACTCTGTACGTAACTCCGATCCAATAAGGGCGTATTATCCGAACAACATGTATTGTTTGTCGAAGCGAGAAATTAAACAAATATGCACAGCATAAACGAGCGTGCGTCGATAATTTCGACGAAAGACTTGGACTCTGTTTGGTACAAAAAGTGAAACAAATCCAGATTGGATCGAGCGAAAATTTCTCGAATCATGATAGGCCATACTAAACTGACCCACCAATACCTCCTCGACAAAGAAGACCCCCCAAATTAACATTAAACCATCCCTAAAGGACAACCTGAAGGATGACAAATCTATCCAAAACTTGCTGAAGTACCTCAACAAGTCCAAACTGTATACCAAGCTGTAAACTTTTCCTCAATCGCTAATTACTAATAACCCATGGGTGGTTGATGCAACTATAAATAAATAAATAAATAAAAAAAGTGAAAAAAAATTTGTAGTAAAAATCCTTGAAATGTGAAACGATTCTTTGAAGAAACCACCCCTTTGTCGCGAACGGCGAAAGTTTGACGAGAATCGGACACGTGCGTATTAGCGTGTCGTCGCGCGGAGGGCAACCGAGCGTGCAGGTCGAAAGGGCGCACGCGAGCAACGTCAGGCTCAAGTTGAAATTGAGTTGTCATCCACTCGACGAGTTATATAGCGCCTTTATAATGTTACCGGAGCGGCGATGCGAAAACTATTAAGTCCGAGACGAGATAGGACCCCTGCAGCCTCGCCGTCTGGATCGAGAAACGATATTAAGGGTTAAGGGGGAGGGCGGGGGAGTGTCGGGGGGGCGCGCTCGACTTCCGTTGAAAGCCACTCGTACGTTTACGCGAGGGTTGTCCGGAGCTGTCGACCTGGTTCGTCGCTGATGAATGCCTTTGAATAGGTCTTTGACGAACGATTTTGACGGGTCATGCGTTTTCGACGAAGGTTCTTTGGGGTCTTCCGGACCCCTATCCAAATATTGATACCGATGTCGAAATAGATATTCGTATTTTCATGCACCAGCTTCCGGCTTGCCTCACTGTTTGAGGAAGACAGAATTCTGACGAAATTTCGAAAGCAGAGACCGCGTGTGCGGGTCTTTTATATATTTTGTCTCGACCAAAAGCTACGAATCTTCCGAACCAACGTCCCCTGATCGCGAAGTTCGTTCGATAACAATTTAAAACCCTTCCCAAGGGGGGAGGGGGGCAGGAACTTAAGTAACAGAGGTTGGCCCTTCGAGGACGCGGTGCGCGGCTGCTATTTTCCGACATAAATTCATTAACGTCGCTTGGACGGCAGGAGCCGGAAATGGGGCTTTTAACTCGAGCGTAATTCCCTCCTTTTTTTTTTTTTATTTTCGTAGATCCTTTCAGGCACGATGGACGCGCCCCTGCAGGTAATGCTCGCTAATAATGGAATCCACCGAAGATGGATCGATCGAGGAATATTGAAATTTCCATACGACCAGGACGTTAATCCGGAATGTACGGCTTTCTGATTTCAGAGGGTCGTATTCTGGAGCTTCATTCCCCGGATGGCGTGCACGAGTGTTGGCTGAGAGCCGCGGACAACGCCGAGGCGAACGTTTGGTTCAACGCTCTGCACTCAGCGCTGGCTGCCCTCACCTTGAAGGCCCTGAGACTGGCCTCCGCGCTTCCGGATCCGCCACAGCTTCAACACATCGGCTGGCTCGCCAGGAGACACTGCCTTCAGGTACGTGAGATCGTTATTTGTACCATAAACGGAAAGAAACTATCACTTTTGCGAGCAATGAGAACTTCAGTCAGTGTTAGTCAGAGAAGTCAACATCAGTCTGCGTTAGGTTTAAGAAAAATATAATATTTTCGACTTTGGGTGATGAGTATCCTTCGAGAGCTACTGTAGAGGAATATTTAAAAAACTAGACTAAGTGTTTTCGAGACTTCGAGATCGCCTATCGCAATATCTTTTCTCTCCGATTGTTAAGAGTTTCCGATAATTTATAAAGATCGAGAAAGACTGAAGAGGGAGAACCGCGATAAAGGGTTGGAGGGTGAGGGGATTGTTGGTGGAGACAGGGAAAGGGGCAAGAAAAATATCAACGGAGGTAATAACAGCGAGATAGGATTCGTCGGGATGGTTTGACTGATAAAACAGACAGGAAAGGGTGACCGTGATTGAACGGAGGGAAAAAGGAAAGGGCCCACCGTGAGCGGGGATGGACGGAGGAGTTTGAGTGGGGAGAAAGAGAGGATCGAGGGAAAGTAATTTCCAGGAATGAGACAGAGAAATATTGAAAAGAGTCGAGTTTAAGGAAGAGACGGCGAGCGAGGGAGGGCCGTGAGTGGGAGTGGAATGGAAGGGAACGTCTGGCTCTCGAGCATTTCCTCTCGTCCTAGAATCGGATAGGTTGAGACTGCTCTTTCGCGAGCAGTTTCGCTCTGATGGAGGGTGACGCGGTCCTCTCGACGACAGCAACCCGCATGAGCATACCGGCAATTTACGACGATCGCGAAAGCGTCGACGGAAGCGTCTCGAAGCGCAATATCGCGTGGTTCGCCGACGATTCTCCACGACAGTCGGGTACGCGAAGGCTTCGACGCTCGAGACGGCACTTTCCGCGAGTTAAACCGCTCGCCTCGATGCTCCTACGACCAGACAGCCACCGTGCAATTGTTTAAATTATTCCCCCATCGAACCATTTCCTTTCTCGATCGTGGATCGTTCGCCGAAAGCACGCGACTGGGGAGAAAAATTGTGTCATTTTTTAAAATACCAAAGAACTCGTGTCCTAGACCTAATAATTCCAAAGTTATCAGAGTTGAAAGTTTACTAAATTGTTTCAGTAACGCTCACATTTTTTCGCAATTTACCGTCCAAAAATACACAAATTTTTTTTGTCATAAATTCATATTCTTGGGATATTGTAACATATTTTTTGCATTGATAATGCCATGCGAATATGACACAAATCATTCTATATCAAGCATTATAATTTTTTAATTTATGATATAAATATACACAGCGTATATGTTTTAAAACATGGTACAGCACATAGCCTTACATTACATTCGCTGCACATGTACTGTGTTTCTTTCCTGCATTTTTGGCCGCGGATTAAATAGAAGTTGACGGTGAAATCTTGAGGTTTTATCTTTGAAAGAACGTACATGCTTTAGTATAGAATACCATGGGACAGGTCCATAACTATCAGCAGTTGAAGTAAGCAAATCGCTATATGGCGAAAGTATCTGTTACGCCTGTGACTGTCATTATTTTCACAAGGAGTCCATCGTACGTAATCTAATTTTAAACGAAAGCAACGACGCGCCGTGAGGGACGAATCCAGAACCGGTAGCGATCGATTACGGCGAGCAGAGGGGTAAAGTTGGGGAATTTTTGGAGCGGTTAAAAATGGCCCGCGGATAGCGATAGAGTTAAACAATTGGTCGACTCCGGTAGTTTTAGGTAATAACCTCGTTAACTTGTCCACGCTGGCGACGGCGTAATGACATTCGACGCTAAACCGTCGCCTAATTACCGGGCGGGCTCGTTGTCCGATCGCCGGCCTCTGTCGTCGGCACAATGGCACGGTCTTTGACCGGTGTTCCGCGATCGGTATCGATCGGCTATCGTTCATCCGGCAGCTTTCCAATCATTTCGCCCCCGTGATTACTCGACGCGATCAAAACCCATTCGCTTTTAAATTCGTTTCCCCCTCCGTTTAATTATCTCGAATACGCGACGTCGAGGGCCCCGCGAACGATCTTCTATGGTTGTCGCCACGCTCGACCGCATAATTTAATATCGGACTCCTCTTCCAGCCGCTCCGGCGCCCCGGCCAGGAAACTTCGTTACGATGAATATTTTCCAGGCGCGGAATAAACGCGATACCCAGCGCCGTGAACGGAACAATTACGGATAATTAAGCGATACGATTCGTTACCTGGCGGGGATGTACGGGCGGGAAAATGTTACTGGTTTTCACGGTTCAATCGCGAGCAATCGCCCCCGATGCGTCCATCCTTTGGAAAAGTCTCGTTGGACACTTTATACGCGGTAACTCGATAATCAGTGGACAGAGCGCGCATTATTTAGAAACGGGGGCTGTATGTTTCGTGAAAAGGAGAAGATGGACGAACGGATGTTTCAAGGTACGATTTTTTAACGAAGCATTTCTCCGTTAATCCGTGAAATCTCCATAATGAAAATCTAAATGTATGTTTCCGGATTAAAACACTTGCTCCGGACGATGGAAAATAAAATTTATCCACCGTGCTCGTACAATTTTACCCCTAATGAACGACGAATGAAATAATATCTAATTTTAGCGTCGCAACAATATTCGGACGGAAAATATGTGCCCGGTGTATTCGTTCTAATAAATCGGCTGAATCGACCATTATCATTGCTTGCAAATATATGCTTCGCATATATAGCCGCGTATATGTCGGGGACTCATTATTGTTCGAAAATTCGTTGATATCAAACGTATTAATAGGGAAAATGGAACGTAGGAGGTAATATGCGAGCGCGTATTCGGGAGAATCGAATCGACTCGATTCCTCGAAAAGGACGTTCGAAGCCATTATATTGGAACGATAAACCTGGTATTAAAACAATCAAAATAGACTTGGAAACGAGTGAACGAATAGGCAAAAATTAGAAAGATTCTACGTCCAAATTCGACTCACTGGGCGTTAAAAGATAGGAAAATTCAACGTTTTCGATCACCACGAAACACGATAGCGGACGTCAGCCGTTTCGAGGGCGCGTTTCAGCAACAGGATCCTCTATTTTTATCGTTCGTGGCGTTGTACGAGGGTAAATCTCGAAGCAGTAACGCGTGAAACACCATAGTGTCCGAATAATTAATGCGAGTCGGTTACGCTGAGCGAGCAGAAATTAGCGAGCGACCCAAAAACCCGCTGTCTTTCGCAAACTCGTCCAATTACAAATCCCCCCGGGTAACGCGAGAAAACAAACTTTCGGGTGTACGATCAGCGATCCTCCCGTAACTGTTCCTCGAAGAAAAACAATTAGACGAAATTTACAGATCTTTAACCGCGGGGTGGAAAAAGAGAAGCAGCCGCGAGGAAGAGGGAGCGTAAGATCGCGGAAAATCACGAGGATTAAAGTTCCCCCGCGAATTTTCCGTGGACCGTTTTCCCCTCCCCGTGTCGCAAATCACCGCTTTTCTTTCGAGCAACCCGAACGGGAAACCGTACGCGCTCGACTGCGACACAGGCGTCCCGATCGCGAAAGGGGTTGGCAAATGGTAATTGGCGCGCGACCGGCGAGGGAAAGTCTGTTCCTGCGGCGACTAATTGTCGCCAAGTCGTGGCTTAATTATCCGGAACGATCGAGGATCGTTAATTACAGCTTTTCGTCGCCGTTTCGATTACCAGCGCGTCTCCCGCGAAAGGACAAACCACCCTGATTCCTGCCCTCGATCTCCGCTCCTTCGTGCGCAGATTTCACCCCTACTTGGTAATTCGCCCCCTTTTCGGATAATCGGGGATACGCGAGTCTCGATGGAGGTTGCCATTAACGCGATCGATTCGCCTCGGTGGATCTTTTAACGCATTGCGTGCCGCATTCTGCTCGCTCAACGTGCTTTTAGGGCCACCAGATTTTTGGAACCCCGGAAACACTTTATACGATGCATATACGCACTTTTTTAATTCGCATTTGGTATTATATTCACGTAAGGTATTATTAAATATTACTATACTATACAGGTTGTTCGGTTCACCTCTAGGAAAAATTTTAATAGGAGATTCTAGACGCCAAAATAAGACGATATATCAATTTCTTGACAGAGATTTCTTGAAAATTAAAAAATTTCATATCATTCTGAAAAAATTATTTTTAATTGCGGGGGTCGATTACAATCATTTTTTGTCAGTAGACATACCCTCGAAATTCCACGCAATTTGAGAAAAAAATTCAGGAAGATGGATAAATGTTTCGGCGAAATTAAAAAATTTCAAATGGTTCTAAAAAAATTACTGTTAGTTACAGGGGTCAATTATAAGCATTTTCGGTCATTAGACATAGTCCCGAAATCGTATCCACTTTTGAGAAAAAAATTCGAGTAGATGTGAAATTCTTCGACAAAATTAAAAATTTCCAGATCGTTCTAAAAAAATTGTTTCTAGTTGCAGGGGTCAATTACAATCACTTTTGGTCAATAGACATACCCTCGAAATCCTACCCACTTTTGAGAAAAAAATGCATTACTGGAAATACATATAATGTCTGACCATACGTACACCTATTCCCCTTAAATTTTTCGGCGAAAAAAAAATTTTTCAAACCGTTTTAAAAAAATTATTTTCAGCTAGAGGGGTCAATTACAATCATTTTTGGTGAATAGACATACCCCTGAAATCCTACTCACTTTCGAGAAAAAAATTCGAGTATGTGTGAAATTTTCGACAAAATTTCAAATTTCCAAATCGTTCTAAAAAAATTATTGTTAGTTACAAGGGTAAATTACAATCATTTTCGGTCATTAGATATAGTTCCGAAATCCTATCCACCTTTGAGAAAAAAATTCGAGTAGATGTGAAATTTTTCGATAAAATTAAAAATTTGCAAACCGTTCTAAAAAAATTATTTTTAGTTGCAGCGGTCAATTACAATCATTTTCGGTCATTAGATATAGTCCCGAAATCCTATCCACTTTTGAGAAAAACATATTACCCTGGTAACCCTTATTCTTAAAACAT